TGGCTGGGGAATTCTGGGAGTTAAAGTCCACTCTCATCTTAAAGTTGCTAAGGTTGAAAAACAGTGCAGTAGACAATCTGGAAGATACCCAGCATTTTATCAGTAATGACCAGCTCCTTGGACTGCACCTAGAAACATATTGACAGTCAGTGTAGCTCCCACAGCCATTTGGGGAACTGAATTCATACACATCTGGAAGACATCAGGTTTGGAAACCTGGTCTAGTTTTGCGGGCAGCTGCAAGCAAAAGTCTTCTCTATTCCTAGAGAAAGGCTGATCTCTTCACTGTCCCTCAATCTAGTTCCCTCCAGACATCCTAGAATGCCCAGCCAGTATGGACTTCATGCACCCCTACTCTCCCCAGGATCTGCAGCCCAAGAGAGTTGTCTCACTTTATACCAGTGTTTCTCAACCTCAGCAACTTTAAGACATGTGGACTTCAACTCCCATGCTGGCTAGGGAATTCTGGGAGTTGAAGTCCACACATCTTAAAGCTGCTGAGGTTGAGAAACACTGCTTTATACAATGATGGGGCTAGCTGATGTCAGTGCAGTAGAATTCTGTTTTGTGAGCAATTCCTGACCTGTTTCATCCAAAAACGTTCTCCTCTAGGGTAACAGTTCTGTTTTACATACGAGGGCCAATAATTCTGATCACTTTAAAAGGTTTGGAGCCTCCATGCAAGGATCAAGTAGTGGGAGAAGGCTATGCTCTGTTGTGAAGCATGTAGCTAATTGCCTCTGTAAACAAGCTGATGGGCAATGTGGACTTTAGATCTACCTCAGCAAGACAAAAGGGGCAGATCTTGCCACCTCAGCAAGATAAGACTTCTAGTAAAACCTCCCTCCCACTTATTGCAAAGACTCAATTTTTACCATGGGAACCAATGCTGTAGCAAACTAACCGCAACTGAATTGGTTCACAATCACAGAAGGAACTCTGGAAGTCATCTAATCCAGCTTCTTGTTCAATGTGTGACCTGCAGCACAAGATGTAACTACAACATAACTGACAAATGATTGTTCAGTTTCAGCTTAAATGTTTTCAGTAAAGAGGAACCTAAAACCTCTAATCCACGGTCCTATTTCTCTTCCTGCCTAACCACAATCTTTTCTTTTCCTTTCCACCTACTTCTTTGCCCTCTCCTCCGCATCCTGCCCTTCTAGCAGAACACAAAATAAGTTTGCTCTAGTGACAGCATTTCAATATATCTGGAGGCAGCTGACATGTTTCCTTTTAATCTTCTCTTCTGCAAGCTAAACATGCCTGGCTCTTTTTATCATTTGTCACAGGACTTATTAGAATCTTTCCCCTCCTGTTTGCAGGTGGACCCAAGACAGATCATCCTGCAGAGCCTTGACCATTAGGGGGGAGGGAAGGGGTATATAGATGACCCATCCTCAGCTCCAAAGCTTGCTGCACTGAGCTGCAAGGTATGAACCAGAGTTCTGTTGCACTCATTTGATCATCAGAATCCTCCACAGCCTCAGATCCTAATGCCCATTTAGATCTTGCATAACCCTGATCCCTGTGGCTCTTCAGTGGTTGCCCCACTTCAACTCCTCGCAAACCAACCAGCATATCCACCTCGCCCCGGTCACTTCAGCCCGTCCCACTCGGTCCAGCAGAAGGGGCAGGTTGCAGACCCCACCGGTCAGGGATTTTCAATTGGTGGGGTCTGGGCAGAGAGCCTTTTCTGCTGTAGCGCCCGCCCT